ATAATTAATATTCGACAATAGCCAAAAAACTAACATTCAAACGGTATCACTCTCACTAGATTACATTGCATAGTTAACGGAAAAAAAGAAGGTTTTACTACGGAAATAATGTATATAATTTGTACGGTTTATCAAATCTAATCTCACCGTTACTACTAAGTAACCAGCCTAATCGCCTATTCTTATTTTAGTCACTCGTTAATAACGAGAAGGTCTGCTATGAAGCTTGTTCTTCCATGATAATCGGATTTCACGCTTATATGCCTTCCCTGCTGTAATTTAGCAGCTGAAGAGAGTTTATCTTATAATAGATATTATTGATGCTTGTTTAAAATTTAAGCTGATCGCAAGAATAAACTGCGAAAGTTTTATAAAGCCACTGTCAAGAGTCTTAGAAGGATATCTATAAAAGGTAGATGTCTTATCCTTGGAAAAATTATTTCATAAATATCTGTAATCATAATACAGGGTGTTTCCTATTGAATGGAACATCTGTGAACGCTGTATTTACTTTATTTTGATAAATCAAATTAACATTGAAACTGTTATCCAAGTTCCTGTAGATGTTGTACGTGTGCCCTTCCGGTGACCACGGCAGATATCTGTGCGGTAGTCTAGTTTCTGCCTCAATCGGGATAGAATATCTGTTGTTAATGATTCGGCACTTCAGCTACCCGCTGCTTCAGTTGCTGTAAGTCTTGGGGAAATGGAAGCACGAACACTTTGGCTTTAAAGAAACCCCACAGGGAAAAATCACATGTAGTTAAATCTGGGGATCTCGATGGCTAGCAAAACAATGGCATATCGTCTGATCCGGCATGGTCAATCCAGCAATGGAGTGGACTACCATTCAGGTACTGGCGTGCGTTTTTATGCCAATGTGGTTGAGCACCGTCTTGCTGTAGGCTGAAGCCGAGAAACGCTTCCTCCAACTGAAGGAACAACCACTATGATATCATATCTTGGTCAATGCACTCGTTAATTGCTTGTTCCGTGAAGAAAAGAAAAACAAAAAAATGCATCTGTTGGAAATGGTTCACTTTTGAGAATCACGTTCATGTTCCATTACAGCCTGTGAATTTTAGGTACCCCATAGCCATAAATTACAGCGAATCATCAGTAAACCCAATTCGCGAAACCATCTACCTCCAGCTTATCTTGCAAATTCTCACAGAAAGCTTTACGCAGTGGTTTGTCGGAAAGTCTTTAACGCCTATACCATCTAACAGGTGTATGGCCGGAACTGTACACGTTTACATAACAAACGCCACGCTGTTGCACGAGGCGCACTGAGTTCAAAAGTAGTACGACCCCTTGATTTTATGAAACGTTTCCCGAATTTTGTCAACCCTTTCCGTTTTGCTGCTGTTTGTTCTGCGCTGTTTTTTTTACACAAGCAGCTTGTGTCCTAAAACTGCTTCACCCACCGTTCCATGTTGTGACGATGCGGTGGTTCTTTACCAAATTTCGTGCCGAAATGTCTTTGAACGACGATAAACGATTACGTTTTCGCGTATTCCAAAGCCCAGTACGCTTTCTCCTGCATGGATGGCGCCATTTTATTTAACAGTGCCTCTAACGGCGATTTCGTAACCGCAAGATTTTTCGCTGTTGCCAAATAAAAATTGCATAATTTAGTTCAAAATTAATATGTTTCGGTTTTGGCTTAATAAATCAATTTACAAATTTTGTACTATGCTATTCTTTTTTTGTCCGATTCACTACGAGACATCGTGTATATCTATTATTAGAAAAGGAGGAGAGAGGGAAAAAAATATGTTTGCCGTGTGTGCAGTCAGCTAATCAAATTCATGTTTACAGAGTGACAAGTGTCGCCGCCTTCTTTTTTTATATTCGCTATGCCATTTATATTCGGGATGTAAATTTATGAAAAAACCTTATTATTATGATCTAATTTCATGATTTGCATTCTGCGAACTGTTTTGTTGCTAGTTTTAAGATATGAAATGAATGAGATGAAATGATATGACGGCAGGAGTTGCCTACTTAGTTACTTTTAGTGTTACTCTAGTTATTATTTCCAGCGTTAGCAGTGACATCAGCGTCTTCTTCTTCTTCCCCCTTTTTTATTTATTATATATTGTTGCGTTTTTCTTTTCTGACACCAGTTGTTACGTTATTTTCTTCCTTCACGTTCGTACGGGGTTTGTGGGGATTTGGAATGAATATCGACGACACTTGATGAAGTATCGAAACACATTTCATTTATCAATATTAATCAGGATAGTTCCAAAATCGCTTTACAGTCGTCGAAGATCTACTATAAACACGCTGACAACATCAGCGACACAGCCTGCAAGTTATCAGGTTATAACGGTGGAGACAGCTTCACTTCAAAGCACCAGAGTACAGCTCCCGACTCTGCTCGATCGTTCTCGGAACTTCACGTACTCTCGAGACTCTCCACGCTACAACTCACGATGCACTCGACGACACACAGAGCACAGCTCCCGATTCTTCCGTTCAGTCGTTCCCGGAGCTTAACACACTCTCTCGACGATGCACTAACCGCGATACACTAAGATATTCTTCGATGCAGTCGACGACAAACTCGGCGCTGGACTTCGAGACACTCGCTCGATGACTGACTATCAGCTCGATAGACGAGGCACACACTCATCGACTGCGGACTAGCAGGGTTTATATAGCTTTCGGCTTGTGTTCGAGAACATTCTGGGCTAAACCGGTAAGAATTCGTTCCAGAAGGTTCTCCATCCGTCCATAGCATATTGCAAATTTTGTCGCCAAATGGGCGATTTTTCGCTAAATACGGCAACCTTGCCATTTTATGGCAAACCATCCAGGATATGTTGCATCGGAAAGGTGGCAGAAGAATATTTGAAGAATAAGATGGATGCAGCAACAGTTTCCAACCCAACAGTAACAGTTTTCCTTCCTTTTTATATAGATCACTCCAGCTATGTGCTGTTCCACACCATTCTATTGCACAAGAATGCTGTTGAACAAGGTTTCAAATTTCAACGCTGAAGATGCATGTTTATAATCAAGCTGACGGCATTGTGTATAAAGACATGACACCGTTTGGTACATTTTTGACACTTTTGTGGTCAAGATTGCTCAGTGTTGGTGGTTTGGCATATTCTTTCATTTTTTACATTTTACTTACTCTCGATTGAAATTCATTGATCTCCCTGTGTTATACGAATTACTTACGCATTTGCTGTGCATTTCTGTGCTGTGGGCAAAACTTTGAATTCAAATATTTTATCATCGGATGGTATTTTCTTTCTAAATCATTGCAAAATTTAAAAAAATACAAGCTACTATGCAACTCGCAATTAGACAAATATACACTGGTGTGCAAAAATTAAGGACGAAGTCGAAAAATTAGCATATCAGCTGAACGAAGAAGCAGAGCGGACAGAAAGACCAATCAGGAGATTAAGTAAGGTGATGTACGGTAGCACATGCGCAGATATGCAGGTAGACGTAATGGGGGAGTGTCTGAGTAGTATAAAGCATGTTGTCGGTGTAAGATCAGTATTTCTGGTAAAGAGATTGCACGCCGTATAGCAGTTAAAATCACACCGAGTTGTTGCCTCAGCGAGAAATGGCGAATAATCAATCTGTTAGACGACATCTGGATGCTTTTACCCGAGGTCGAATCATTGGGAAGTTGGAGGAAGGCCGCAGTGTGACAAATGTGGCTGCAGAGTTCGGAATTGCTCACAGCATCGTTTCACGACATTGGAGACAATTTCAAACTACAGGAACAGCTATCCGAGGTTTTAGTAGTGGTCGTCCACGAGGAACCACACCCGCAGATGACCGGTATATTGCCTTACAGGCCAGAAGAAACAGGCGGCAGACAGCGGGAGAAATCGCTAGACACACGACACAGGCGACTGGACGACCGATACGGCGTTTTACCGTGGCCAGAAGACTGCACGGTGGTGGTCTGTTTGCACGACGCCCTGTACGGTGTGTACCTCTAACGCCTGCCCATCGGAGAAGGCGTTCTCTGTGGTGCCGGGAACACCGTAATTGGAGAGACAATGAATGGGGACGAGTACTCTTTACAGATGAGAGCAGATTCAGTCTGAGTAGCGATTCTCATCGCATACTCATCCGGAGAGAGCGGGGAAGCCGCAATCATCCCTCGAACATCATTGAGAGGGACAGGTATGGAGGTGGCGGTGTTCTCGTTTGGGGAGGCATCATGCTTGGTAGTCGTACAGACCTTCACATCTTCGACGCAGGTTCAGTCAACGGGACCCGTTATTGTAACGAGATTCCTTCTTCCATATGTGCGTCTTTTTAGAGGCGTTATGGGTCCGCAGTTCCTTTTCATGGACGACAATGCACCATGTCATCGCACAGTAGCTGCCGAACAGCTCTTAGAGAGTGAGGATATTGAACGTATGGATTGGCCGGCACGATCTTCGGATCTCATATCCCATCGAGCATGTATGGGATTTTCTAGGCAGACGCTTGGCAGCTCGTGCCTTACCACCAGTAACGATTCCGGAGCTTCGATTGGCGCTGCAAGACGAATGGGCAGCAATGCCTCAGCAACTCATTGACACCCTCATTCTTAGCATGGACAGACGCTGTGAAACCTACCTAGCAGTCAGGGGAGATCATATCCCCTATTAAAGACCGGATGTTTCTTGCTGGACACCCATCACAGGGATGTTTCGGCCTCAGTCGCATTGCGCTCCATGCTACTTTTTTAATAAAGCTTCTTTTATCCCTCTGATTCTCTTTTAGTAAGTGTTGCTTACATTACTCCTGTCCTTACGTATTGGGGATCTTACGGTATTAAATGTGTTGATTTGGAAAGCTTTGGTACAAAGTTATATTGAAAAAAACCGTCTCGTCCTTAATTTTTGCACACCAGTGTAAATGCATAATGAATGTTTATACAATGCCAGTATTCTCGAGCTCATATTTACAGTATTTTGTTTGCATCATTTTCGTCCAACCGGTAACCAATGCAATTCTTTATTTCCCTTTAGATCGGAGTCTATCCAGCGTCGAACATCAAGCATCCTCGAGGCAGACACTCATATCCTATCCTGCCAACCTGTCCATCGACGGAGACAGAGAGACCTGTGCTTACACAGATAAAATGCGACCTCGTTGGATCCGGATCGACATGCGACGAAGTCAGAGAGTGAGAGCTGTTGCCATCACTATCCCAAATGGAATCTACTCAAGAGGTCTATTCCAAAACTTGTGTTTTACTAGAATATTTCTGCTTAACCCTTAAGCATACGCGTGTGTTTTTACGCGAGGGATAAATATGTATGTAAGACTAAATGTGGCATCAAATACAAAAATAATTTAATTAGAAATGAAAAACAAATGTTACATATATTAAAGGAAGCTATTTTAAAATTTCGATTGAAAATGATAAATAATTTTTTAAGAACTGAAACATTGTGTCAACTTTTATGTTGGTTCATTGTATCAACTGCATCGCATTTTACGTTTTTCTATGGTTTTTTTACCTGGGTGCTTCTGTATCACTTTCATTGGCCAGATATACATTTATAGTAAGCTACAAAAGTTGATATTTGGCAACAAAACGTTGAAATAAAACCTAAATTTTACAATAGGCGCCGCTTAATTATGATCGCATTTGTCCACGGCTATTTTGATAACATTAACGTTGAGAAAAAATATCCTTCAAAACTGCAATAAAATGTAAATTAATTTAATATGAATACAGCAAGAAGTATATGAATAAATAGCTTCATAGAATTTTAAGTAGGAAAATGCAAATATTTGTTTAAGATTTTTCGTGATGTGTTTAACGGAATAATTCATTTATGAACTGTTCATAACATTTCTGGAAAATCATTTGACTGATGCTACACCCCTAATCTTAACTCTCGGAAGGTATCCCTCATTCGCTCCAAGAGAACTTGCAAGTGGAAAATTTAAAATTAGGAAAAAAACAATCTTAGTTTGACTTATATGTTTTCAGGATTTTTTTTAAGGAGCAAGGGAAAACGTCTGTAGAGAATTTTTTGTTCATGAAGAAGAAGGACCTGTGTCCGATAATTCTGAAAATTGACAGAGCTATTCTAAATCCAAACTAAATTTAGATTGCTTTTTTGCCTAGTTTTAAATAGTTGGCTAACATTGAAAACAAGTTGTTTGGCAACATAGTCCCTTACTTGGCGACATTTTTTGACAGTTAGTAATTTTTATAATCTAATTTTGTCTTACTTGGCGACTTTATCTCTTATTTGGCAATTGTATTTAAAAATTATTTGACAATGCTTTGATAATACTAACTGACAGTGTGCAAGCCATGTTTTCGTATACAAACGGGAGGGATTTCAGCTATTCGATAACAATATCCGAATAACTTTAACCTCGATCCCATTAAGCAGAGTCTACAGTAGCTGAGTTTCACTCTTGTGAATTTTCTTGAATCTCTTACATTTTCAAAATTTTTTCCTTCTGCAAAATGACTGGGCACTCAAGCATACTTTTCGCCAATGTACGTTATTATCATCAGTTTCATAGCAGATTTGTTTTACGAAGTCAATCATGCCATCAACATTATCTGATAATGCAGTATACGCCGCTTAATGTGATCGCTCTTAATGCTATCCCGGTTAGCTTTTGGATATTGCTATCGTATCGCCCAAGTCTTGCCCATTTGTACACGAAAGCATGGAAAATACATTGCTTATTGTGATCGAAAATTTGGTTAATACATTAATGTATTATTAATAGGATATATTTTATAAACTGAGATAAATTCACCAAATGTCAAAATAGATTATAAAATTGCCAAGTGGTATAGAAATATCGTCAGGTAAGGGTAAGGGAAGTTCCCAAACTAGTTTGGTTCCAATTTCAGTCAACCGTTTAAAATTACGACGATTTCAATAATTATCGCTGAGGGAGATCAATCTTCAAAAATGAAAAGATTTCTTCAGAATATTTTAGTCCAAAGGGGCTTTGCTTTGTCCCTGAAGGACTATAGTTTTCGTTTTGCGATTTTGCGTTGGTTCACTATAAATGTCTGTTTCACTTTTCAAACTGTTGCCACCAAATGTTAAGAGTGGTGCATTATATTTGAAGAAATTAACTAATCAAAAATCTGCATATATGTATGCATATTTCTCACATTGTGATAAAACAACGGTACACAGAGACATCGAATTTTGAATGACGTAATCCTACTGCGAATATGGGCATGGGAAAGCACAAATTTAAAATTTGGAATTTGTTTTATTATCGATTTAATATTTTGTAAAACTTTAACGAATTTTTGATTAACAAACTCAAGGATTTGAGAGAGCATTGGCAACGTTGTGCAGAAAAAACATTTTCATTACCAGCGCGCGAATCTCTATATCGGAAATTCTAAAGATATGCTAAGATATGCTCATTTTAACTATTTTGCGATATTGCAGTTGAACTGAATTTTATGGTTTAAGTACGAAGAACGTGATATTTAATAAATAAATGTAACACACAAAATGTTTAAAAAAACGCCCCTTTGGACATCATTTAAAATCTTAAAAATTTCAGATTTTCTTTTTATTATTATTATTTCAGTTGCATGTTCTTTGTCAGTGAGGGATGCCATTTGAACTTTAAGATTGAGGGAGAAAGCATTGGTTAAATATTTTCCAGAAACATTATAAACATAAAAGAAATTCAAGACAATATGAGTAGTTCATAAATAAACTTTTGCATTTTGCTAATTAAAATTCTGTGAAAGTATACCTATTTGTATATTTCTAGTTACATTTATATTTAATTGTAGAGTCATTAGGACTTTTTTGTTGCTGAAGATATGAAAAACGAGCAATACCCTCGCCGGGACTCGAACCTGGACCTGCTGAATACGCGCCGAGTGTGCTACCCTTATACCACGATGGCATGCTGAAAGGAGGGAGAAAATACTTTTACATAGTTAAATTCCATTGTTGCTTTGCAGGATACTTTTCTCATCGTTTAATGTTTTCTTTCCGTTAATGTTATCAAAGCAACCGTGGACAAGCGTGATCATATCAAGCGGCGGCTATTGTAATACACGTTAGGAGGATAATTCACAACAATAACAACTGTTTAATATACTACATTCAAATTTTAAGAATATATTCTAAGTTTATCTGTTAGAACATTTTCTTTCAAATTACTAATTTAAAAAATCTGCTGTATAATATTTTATTTAATAACTTTTAGCATTAATATCATATGTTACTGATGACAAATCTTATGTAACTAAAAATTTTATATATCTATAACTTGAAATATTGCATTTCGGTAGTTATAAATTATGTGACAGTAAGTATCTTATCTTCGTATTAATTTGTTATACGTAAGAAATCAGTATTGAAAATTTTTTGAATTTATTTAGTTAAAGAAATTGATGATAAATTTATTTCTTATTCTTATAAGAGAAATTTTTTATTTTATTATATTATAATTTTATATATTTATTTATATAATTAATAGTAATAAGATAATTTTATTATTAATTATAAGAGATACTTTATTTATTATTATAAATTTTTATTTTCTTATTATTATAAGAGAGTTAATTAAAAACTGTAAATTTCTATAACTTGAAATATTGCCTTTCGGTAGGTGCGAACTATTTGCCATTAAGTGTTTTGATATTAAATTTATTTTGCGTAAGAAATCTGGATTGAAAATTTCTGTAATCTTTTTGATGATGATAATTTAATTTCTTAATATATTTGCAATAATAACATTTTTCGGAAGTTTCATTAATGCAAACGTTTTGCTATTTCTAGATGCTGCACAGTTAACCATCTACGCCATTAGCGTCCGAGATTCGACAACGGCTTCTTATCATAAGTGTGCTGATTTCAACGGGAGATTTTGTGAGTTGTTTGTAAATTTAATTGTTTCTGATTCCTCTCGTATTCTTCCCCCCCCCAACCTTTTAATCGCTAGGTTCTAAAAGTTTAAAAACTATTCGCGTAATTTTCTCCTTTCTCAGTGCGTTCAGAGAACGAGCTTCCCTAAGTCTTAAAATAATTTCTTCCATGTTTTTGTCTTACTAACAAAGACAAATGCTGGCAAACTATTTGCGAATGTCATGCCGAACGTTTCACTTCTAACTGTTGAACTTCATGTTAGCCTAATACAAGAACAGACCCATCCCAGTGAAAGCAAACACGAACTTACGTTCAGTCTAACATTTCGTTGAGCTGCAACAGCTGCACATTCACCTTATCTAATTATTTGTGGATGATTCGATGCCTAAGGTGTAGAAGAAACAGCAATAAGAACGAGCAAGATTCAAGTTAAAGGGAAGTAGAAATGAAGGTAATGTTATTAGATACTGTAGTGCTAGTATTACTACTGTTCATTCTTATTGGATTGTAAGTTTCTTTTAAAGAAATAAGACTGTGATAGCTACCTGTCAGTTAAATGAATGTTTACATAGTAGCTGATTGAAGATCTTACCGAAGTAAAAGAAGAAAGATACAAGTAGGAAATTACATAAAGTTCAAAGAGACAGTGTGGCAGGGACATTACTGTAAAAACTTTTAATGTGAGAATCTTCCCCTTCTCTTTCAAAGAAAGCCTTTTTTGAAATAGGGGGAGGGCAGGAATATTAAGAAATTTTATTCTTAACGTTATGCAGTGTTCTAAAATAATCTTTATACTTTTGAACATTAATAACGGACTAACTATAAGATAACTTTAAGGGGTATTTTGTATTTGAAACTGCAATATGTGTAAACATTAGGTAGGCATTTTTTTTTTAATTCTGTCGCACTACGCTAGGAAAGCAGGCGCCAGTATACAGGTATCAGTCTTATAACACAATAGGTAGGTTTTTAGAAAATACCGTGCTGTATGAAACCGTGTTATACGAGACTAACAACCAATACAAAATGGAGGAATGGGTTCCTAAAACGTTTAAAAAAACCCTTTTTAAATACAAATACTAAACTTTTCTTATTATTATAAGAGAGTTCTTCCATTGAAAAAATCGGAATAGTCTTGCTGTCATCCCATTTCTTATTTCTAGGAGTTAAAAACATCTGGAATCTTCCTTAAATTTTATTATTGCTGGTACACCAGTTCTTTCTTTTATTAGTTACAAAAACAGGCGGGTTCTTCATAAATTCAAATTTTAAGTCATTTTCGTTTTTATTAATGAGACTCATAATTTAATTTTAGATCATTCATATAGCATTTTCTTTCTGTTGAGATTTAACACATATCGGTCAAAACAATAGAGCTCTGAATTTTCTTACTGAAACTTGTAAAGTTGTACTGCATCTAAGAGCTTGTGTTAATGTCCTGCACTCCTTTTTAGACTAAGTCTAAAGATAGTTAAAATAACCTTTTTATTTAAGTCTTAAATGAGCAAAAAGGCACAACTTATGCCACAGACGAACCCCCACAACTTGCAGGTATTAACGTAACAGAAAGCTAAACTTCAAATGTCGATAATGTGGTCTGGAACTGCATACAAAATTAAACTGCTAAAGCTCCAAGAGAGTTAACAATGCTTATTTTTAAACATCGGCTAGAAAGAAGCTGGAGCCGGAATAAAACTTAATCGCAGTTGGCGATAGTAAGTACATAGCCAGACGAAAACCAGAAACTCTAATTTGTCATTAAAACCCTCAGCTTAATATACAAACAACTAATTTGTGTTCTTGTAAGGACTTCGGAAAAGAAAAATTATAGTAAAGGTTTATATTACAATACTTAATTAACATAAAATACTTTATGATCCTAATCATATGGTACCTTATAAGCCCTAATCATGTCACAAGGGAAAAATTCCTGTAATATTCCATGCTCGGTTGTTTCACAGTTCTCTTATTTTTTTTCTTCTGCAAAAACTACCTAGGGATGTTTCAGTTCATTAGTTGGTGATTTAGATTATTTGCACACACATATAGCAACGTAAATTGCCTTAGATGCATTAAAAGTCTCATTCATAATAATATTGAAAATTTTTATTTCCGACGAGTTCCGTTGCTTTTATCAATTAACCTAACTTAACCATCATTTTGTGGATTTCTGCGAATGGTTAGGGAGGTACTCGAAAAAGATTGGAGGGAAAAAAAAAAACTTGTAAACTTTAAGAAGAAACTTAATATTTCTGAATTTTTGATACAGTTAATTTTATTGCTAAAACCTGAAACTGAAAGTTTAATGTTATCAATGATTTCTGGGAGTTAAAAATGAATTTCATGGCTGAGGAAAAAAAAAATCTGATGCTTATTATCGTAAAGGAAGAATCGCCAAGAAGAGATTACAGTATCGAGTCTTATTGAAATCATTTCTGCTGTTGAAAACTTTCAGAATACAAGAGAAGAGAATACAAAGAGTGAAAGCCTAATGATTAGCAGCCATGGAGCCCCAGAACGTATGGAAAACTGTTAGATTGCATGCGTCAGTAAACTAAGTTCGAGGTTAATGATTAAGTTCACGTTTAATGAATTTGCGCAGTATTCGATATAATTTTGCGAAAGAATGTTAATATGGATTATAGAAAAAGGATTAAAACATTTTTCCCATGAAAACTGAAAGTTTATCTAAGTTTTTATTATTATTTTATTTAAATCCTTTTAAAATTGTGTGCCGTTCCCTTAAAAGCCTCTAAATTGTTCTTTTTTTTTTTTTTTTTTTTTTAATGGTATCTGAGTCATTTTGGATTATCTATAGTATTCGATTATCCGTGCTTACCCTGCATTAATTAGAACGAATAACCTAGAGTTAAACGAATAACCTAGAGTTAAATTTAAGATAAATGTAATTTTAGATCTTACCGTACCTAAATTCTAACTTTGGTAGAAACATGGTAACGCAGTTGGTAAACAGATTTGTTAAAACATGTCTAACTTGTATGGTACATTCCATTGGTACCACATGTTTAAAATCAATATTTAAAGAAATAACACCTGAGGCCACCTTTTTCATTTCAAACACTTTGTATGAACGATGACCTTAGTTTTTATCTTTATAGTATAAAATAAAATGTAACTCACCAGTTGCCGAACGGAAAAAACGATGAACACTGGTAGTTCTAACCTGGGTTCGATTCCAAGCAAACGGGGTGGCTGCATGGACGTTTTCGAGGTTTTCCTCGTGTGTAACATGTATGCAAGCCATTTTCCCTTAAAACAAGCTCCACAAAGGCATCCCTCCTCTTAGACAGACAGTTTTAGTGTCCTTAGGCATATTCAACTACACATAACCAAGCCTAAATAGGATGTATAATTACCAGCTTATTTATAGATCTATAATACAGTACAAAGTCCGTAATCCGGACGTCCATTATCCGGAATAATCTATAATCCGGACCTCAAAGCCACAAACTTTTTTTGTATTCTTTACGCATGCGCGTTTAATGTATAACGGATTATACCATCCGTTATACATACTAGCTAGGTTTAAATTATCTTTATTGATTCTAAGGCATTTCAGTTAATGTTGCAGATTGCGCTGTTCCTTATCTTCTAATTGTATCCGGCTTATTATTTTTTGCAGACTGTTAAAGCAATTTAAAAAAAAATAAGCTTGAACTCATTTAACTCATTATAAGCTCGATAATATATGTTTCTCACTGCCACATATTATCGGGTAGAATATCTTAGTCGAAATTTGCCATAAAGTTAAGAGACCATTTCCGTGTATATCTCAGTAAAATACTAATCTGGGTTAGGGCGCGTAGGAAAAGTAAACCGTGGCCATCGCATTATTCGGATATAATCCTATGTGACTTTTTTGTGAAGGGTTGTCAAATCTTTGTGCATCCACTCTCCATCGATCTCCAGAATCTGTGCGATAGTATTATTGATGCTGTGGTTTCGGTTGACCATGATATACAGGCACATTTGCAAGATGAAACGGATTGTCGCATAGATGTCTGTCATACTATAAGAAATTTTCTGCTTCCTTATTACATGCCTCCATGTTATAATCGGGAAGCACGTTCGACTAGCAGTCGTAAGGTACAAAATTCGAATCACGGCTAGGGCATCGCTGGTATCTTACGCGTCCGAATTCCAGAAAAGAATTCTAGCTGATTCTACAAGTGGCGCCGAACTAAAATTTAGCGAAAGATAATTTATCTGCATCTGAATTTGGCGACTGCATTCCCTTCCTGAATCACCTCTTTAAATGAAGGAGGATGAAAGAATTCTTTCCTCTCTTACCACGTACCTTCGCCATGTAATTAGAAGCAAGTCCAACTAACATTGGGAGGTATGGCGTTTGACTACTGGACATTCTTCATATTTCTGTTTCGAAGTACACGTAATGACTCTACAGTGGAGCCTTTAAAACTGTAAATCCTGTAGAAGCCCCTAATTTATGATTTTTTGCAGAGCTTTGAAACTATAATTTTCAATTGTGGAACCCCTTCTAAAAAAATATATTTGTGTGGCATCCTTGAAACTATAATTTCTGTGGCATCTTTTACAGAAATATATTTTTGTGAAATCCTTTAAGCTATGATTCTGTAGAACACTTAAAGCGTTATTTTTTGCAGAACTTTTTTTTATAATTTTGTGGATACCTTAAAACGTTTCTTCTGAAGAACCACCTAAAACTGTTATTTTTTGTGTGATCCCTTGAAATTATAATTTTCTTTTGTAGAACCCCTAAAGCTATATTTTTGCGGAACACCTATAAAATTAGGAATAGGTGTTTCATAAAAAATAATAATATTTTTGTGAACATTAAGCTCATACATTTAGCACAACAAAATATATGGAATAATAATATGGAATAAATATATGGAAAAATATAAAAATTCTTGAAAATTATGCTAGAGGATCTGCTCCTCAGAGTCAACTGTACACCATAATACGGATGACTAATACTTATGTCAGTAACTAATACCTAGTCATCCGTATTATGGTGTACAGTTGACTCTGAGGAGCAGATTAACTATCTAAAAATGTTAAGGTTATTGAGGAACGATGGGAATATTGTAAGGAATTTTCTCTTCCCCTTCCGCTTGCATTTGTAGTGTAACTGGAAAGCATGTCCGGCTAGTAAGACCAGAGTTCGGATCCCGGCAAGAGCACAGATGATTTTCCGTATTCCTTTCTACGAAGTAAACGTAATGAATCTGCAATATCGGTAAATATCGGCACCCTGATTTTTTTGTGAAACATGCCCCCTTCCCCCCCAAAAAAGACTTGGCCTCTGTTTAAGGATAGTATAATTTGATATCGGTGAATTTTAAAGTGCTTCGTGGTATTATATTAATGTGTATTTATTGTTATAAGATTTTAATAAATTTAATTGAACACTGTTGCTAAATTGCAGATCCTTCATTTGCAGTAATTAGTATTGTTTAATTGTGCGCATCCTAGAAGAAATTTTGCCTCACGTACTTGAGATAAGGTTATCTAATAACGTGTTGCTCAACCTTTTACTCTTAGAATAACAGAAAAAGAGTATATCTGACAACATAGAATAATTCCCAGCTACTTCCTATCTCCCCCCAAAAGGAGCCGGTAGTTATGTACATTTTATTTTCTTCTGTATTTTTTCCCTCTTCGGATTGAGTTACCTTGAGATTTATATCTCTGTATAATTATTATACATAATTTTTTAAGATTTTTGCAGGTACACAATAATGTATGATTTTGCTGTATGATTTGTCTCTATAAATATACTTCACTTGTTAATATTATATCAAAAAACTGTTCTGTTACACAAATACACTCATGTCCATAAATTAAGGATAATTCGAAGTCACGCGGAAATCGAACTCTAAAATAAATATATCACCTGTAAAATCACTACACACATCTTCAAGAATCATATGCAACTTTCAGGAAGTAACCAGATGACACCGATGGTACGTCACAATGACGAGAGTGTAAGAGAGTGATATATAAGGAATACAGGCAAAGAAGTAAAATTGTTTGCAGGCGCTTTATAAACATTTCAGTGCAATAACCTAATAGTTATGACACAAAGGACGCATTTGGATGATTTTTTACGTGGTAGAATTATCGGCCGCTGGAATGTGAGCGTACTCAACTGGAAGTATCAGACGAACTTGGAATTGCCCAGAGTGTCATCTCCAGGCTTTGGCAACGATTCCAAGATGATGGTAATGTGAGAAGACGTTGCAGCACAGGTCGCCCCAGAGTTACAAAGCCGAATGAGGACCGGTATTTGGCAGTTACTGCCAAAAGAAACAGGCGGAGCACAGCCTCAGACCTGTCTCGTCAGCTCTCTTCAGCCACTGGTACGACAATTTCAAGGCAGACCGTGTACGGACGCTGAGGGCAGATTGTCTATATGCTCGTAGACCTGTCAGATGCGTTCCACTTACTGCAACTCACTGTCGCCTGCGGTTAGCCTGGAGTAGAGAGCATGCATTGTGGACACCGCAACAGTGGGCTTGTGTGATGTTGTTTTCCGACCAGTCCAGGTTTAGCTTGCAGTCTCATTCTTGCCGGACTTTCATATGGAGAGCTCCAGGTACCCGTTACCACCAAGAAAACATCATTGAACGACACCGTTACGGTGGTGCAGGAGTGCTCGTTTGGGGTGAAAATATTCTGGGTTCCAGAACTGACCTGCATGTTCAAATTGGAAACATGACAATCCAAATCTATCGGGACGTCATTCTAGAACAACATGTACGTTTGTTTCGGGGCACCATGGGCGCACAATTTGTGTTTATGGATGACAACGCCCGTCCTCACCGTGCAAACATCGTAAGCGAATGCCTTCAATCGGAGGATATCACCCGTATGGACTCGCCAGCATTCTCACAGGACTTGAATCCAGTAGAGCACGTGTGGGACATGCTTGGCCGACGAGTTGCAGCCCGTCAACCTCCTCCTACATGTCTACCGGAACTTCGGAGAACATTGCTTTTTCAGTGGTGTAATATCCCCCAAAATCAGATCGATAATTTGATAACTCAGCATGCCTAGGCGTTGTACGGACTGTATTGCATCGTCTGGGAAGACATACAATGTATTAACAATCATACCACCATGTAATATTTGTTTTTTGTAAATAGGTTTTTTTTTGTAATTTGCTCCAGGGAGAAAAATTGCTATTTTTTTAATAATATCAAACATATAGCATCTTTTTTTTTTTTTGCTCTTTACTTTCGGTTTTAATAAATAAACTTTACAAATAAGTCAAATTTGTTTTGCTTCTAACTCTTCCATTTGCCTGATTTTGCATTATCCTTAATTTATGGACATGAGTGTATATTAATTTATAGATAATTTTTTGTTGCTTTTCACTGTATTTATCTGGAAATGTTCATGTAAATATTATCATGTCTCTATTTTATCATTATGAATTCTGCTACAGTTTGTGACTTTAATAGTTTTACTATCTTTATATTAGAGTATCTGTGTATACTGTATTAACTATTTTTTTTTTCGTGCATGCAAATAATTTAATGTACAGAACTGAGTTGTCTGAGCATACTGCATGTCCTCCTTTTCCGCTAGATCTCTTACCATTAAATGCCGACAGGATTCCGCCATCTTTAGGTACATGTATTGAGTTGCATCCCAAGAACAGAACCTGGGGTCTGTGTACAAGCTTCAAGTTATAAGACACTCGTAGTTTCGATAATGGGGCTTTTGACCGAAATGCTAACTAAAAAAATGCCACATTATCCGTGGAAAAGAAAAGTCATATGTCTTGGAGCAAACTCAACTAATGTTAGATATGCGATTGTGGTATGTCCTCGCGAGCATTCCAAAAGCATATCTAGTATAAATAGTTAGTAACACCAAAGTTGAGGTTTACAAATTGCTGAAATTTTCTAATATTTTTCTCTAAATTATGAAGTTAAGTGATATCAAATAGTAAGGGAACATTAAAAAACTGTAAGTTCATTTGAAACCTTTCTAACCAGAGATTCGTTGCGTGAAAACTTTTCTCAATAATAATGCTGGAAATATTGTACCCAATAATTGTATGTATAAATGTGTTTGGTATTCATGGACGATTTGTGTAAGTTTACGCTTAGCTAAAAAACAATTAACTAATATATTTCTTGAATTACAACAGATTGTAAAATGTCCCTTAATTGATTGAACCTTTCTTATCATTCAGCTTCGCGAACGTTGAAGCTATCCTGCGCTGGTGGCGAAGTTGAAGGCCGGTACATTCACGTGGAAGACAAAAGAAATCGAGTAAATTATTTCAGCCTCTGCGAAGTGGAAGTTTATGCTAATAAAGGTAAATTTTTTTAATTACACGGTAATAATTGCTATGAACGATTGTCTTCATTTTGCTTAAAAAACAGTTGATAAAACAGTGATAGGTTGTTAATAAGGCAGCTCTCCAACATCGAATTTTTAGTTTCATTTCTAGGGTATTTATTGTAAAAGATTCTTTACCTACTGAATATTGTTTCTCCGTAACTCCGGTTCCTGATGAAACACATTGGCTATATAAGAACTGCATAAATGTTGACTGATTTCGCTTAAAAAGTACTATAGTAAGTTCATTTGGCTCAAAATATAAACGTCTAACGGATTCAATAATCAGTCAAATTTAGGATTCCGTAGTGGATAATCTTCTAGAAAGTTGTTTGTCTATCTCTCATTTGTCACCATCTTTGAAGCGCGCCGATCACTGAAATACTGAAGCACGAGTACTTAGTTATATTTTATGTACTTCCATTATATTATTAGAGCTGTAAGGTATTTTTTTCTTGCTTACGGCGCGCATGATGTAATTCGTAGCTGTCCATCGGAAGGTTGATAGTTCGAATCCCAACGAGAATTTTCATGTTTCCTGCTCTGATAAATCTCATGACCTAAGCCAATCAGACCACTGACTTGAGCCAATCAGGTGTGTTTTCACACGCACGTTTTCTTCATCCCCAACGACAGACCAACCTAAACTCGCTATGATCGAGTATCGACTGTCCAATTACAGGTCCAGGTACCACAGTGCTGATCCGACTGCAAAGCCAATGCAACCAGTGCATCAAAATTTTGGATATGCAGGGCGATAGAATTTGCGAGCAGTTTACAGTTGACGAGTAGCAGAGACACCATCATTCTAAAAAATGGATTGACGGTTTTGTCTCGCGTCCCCACATTTCTAGTACCAGAAGTACTCTGCAAGAGTCGGTGACCCCACCTCTGGTGGATCTGACCCAACAGTTTGTAAAACATTATAGGTATCAGTTCATAGTTGTTTGTTAGTGATAAAACATCAGGCTAGTAAAATTTCGATAACAATAAAATGCACTCACGGCCGATTATGACTGTTGAAGACCCTGAGCACTTAAAAGATAATAGTGTCCTGACATACATTTTCGCCAATGTTTTCCTCCGTTCCTTTTTTCTCAGTCTTGATTTAGCTGCACCGTATATTTCAAAGAAAACTATTAATGGGAAATTTTTATAGTTCCCACTTTTCTTAATGCCCGAAGCACATGCTTAATTTGTCTAATAGTTAATCTAGTCATGAATGCACTACACACGCAATAGAAACAAATACACAAATAAACAACAGAACACTAGAAAAATAATGCATAATAGATATAATAATATATGGTATAATAAAGAATTGCTTAAGGAACACTTCGAAGATATTCTTGTGACATACGTTCATTCTTAGGACATTCGCGTTGCAATATAGTTTAATATGAGCAGCTAAGACAGAATGGGGCAACCGAAAGCCTTGCCTGTAGTTTCGCAAAACCTAGTACAGGGTTATTTTATTAAGAAATGCCGATCAAGCCTGATCACTAAACGTTCGTATTTTAACCCATGTTTAAATCCTGATCAGCCAGCTGGCTATAGGGGAGTTTTTGTGTTTTACTCAATGTGTGAGGTGAATGCTAGACAGTTTTCTTTAGAACTCTCCAGGAAGTCACCCTTGGTTTGAGTCAGATAGCTTTCATGTGCTTTGTCGTAATTCATATTATCTACTTATGTCTAGATACTAACGTCCTGAACAAAATATAATGGCAGTCTTAAAACTTTTCAGTCATACCTTACAAGTAGTTATAAGTAAATACAATAAAATGTCTTCCGTAAACTTATTAGCTTTTCGAGTTTTACAAAATCATATTCATTATTTGTCTCTTTCACAACCAAACATACTGTTATTTTTAAACCATAGTAGCTGTATTAAATTTCATTGGTCAAACAAAATGTATGTTCCGTCTGATTGTTTTGATAGCCTTTTGTATGTTTCTGACAGATTCAGAACAGTAAATGGCAACAGGAATTACTCGTTTTGTGTCATTCGCATATCTTATGTGGAGCCCTCAATGAAAACTGTTCTGAAAAGGAAAATGGTTTGTTAAGCACATAATTACTTTTCAGATTCCCACTTACTGTAAGAAAAAAAAAAAAAAAAAACATTGGGAAACAAACTATTACATTTTCAAGGAAAAAACCTTAGAAAACAAAGATTTAATTATTATAGTGTGAATAGTTTACTATGCAACAATGGTGAAACAGTCTTGAGAAATCAAATTTTACAGTGTCTGTTATTTAAAAGATTTTCCTGTTATTATAATGCTTCTTCTTCAAAAGGTCGCGTTGTTTTTAATGGAAATGTAATTGCAAACCTATATTATTTTCACTTAAAATGTTCCCATCTCCACATTTTCGCCTTTGCTTTTCTTAGTAACGTATGAAATTTTTTATTTTTAAGAAAGTGTCATTTTTCAATATATTTTCAACTCTTAGTAAAATATTGGTTACGAAATTTTTTATTCATTGCGAAATGAAATAAAATAGTTTAAAAAGAAATCTAAATTATTTGTAAAAGCTTTGTACCTATTGTAATGACTTTTTACAATTGCAGTTTAAACCTCCTTAATTCTGGTACGACTGACTGTCTTTGTAATATATGTGGGCATTAGGCACATTTAAATGTGTTAATTGAAAATCAGTAATAGAAAGGTAAAAGCTACAAATTTTACATTTAAATGCATACAAATGTAACCTGTACTTCATACTATTATAAATTTCTGTAAATATTTAAATTCAAACAATCCGATGGCTGTTTTTGTGCACTGTTATAATATCGTACGTTGCTTTATATAATTATTTGTTTGTTTATTGCTTTTAGCATAACAGTTGAAGAATTGATTTTGCTTATAACTGAATTTATGGCCACACAAACATAATTATTTATTCCTTATATAAAACTGTAGATCTTTCAATTGTGTGTACAACAATGTTTAAATTGTAAAACAGCTCAACTAGAATGAGAAATATGGGCAAAAACGTCCTGATATGCCTTGGTAATATATGGCGATTTTTCACCAATTTGACAATATTCTGGAGGATTCTGGAAAAAGCGTTTTCGGAGATTTAAGAATGATTTTTCTTGAAGCTTCTAAGAGTCCGTGGGATACCATATAAATACGGCTCCAACATTCAGGACGAATCAGTTATTCCTATGTCCTGAGACTTGTAGTTCAAAGAGAGTTAGCTGAAATGCGTTTTAGAATGCATTCTGGAAGTCACTTTGAAAATTTACGCTATATCTCGGGCTTTAAGGCGAAATTGCTTAATAGGCATGTTCTTCTTGAGCTGTTTATACCTACATTTTGTGCTGTGTGCCATTATCATTTATAATAAATCAATAATTGCTCCCTTCTGATCCGGGGTTGTTATTCAAAGAAACAGCGACAATTTCGTAGCTCGCAACAATACCAATTTCTAGACTTATTATTAATTAGAATGTCACCACTAGGATCAGTATGCGCTATATAGTGAAACTTAAATTGTACAGTAGCCATACAAAATTAGAAAATTTATTGAACAGAAACTATGGTTACAAAAACTAGAGTGTCTGCTAGCTGTCAAGACATCCCGCAATGTGCGAGCAGACGCGCATTTGTGCACTGTCGTGCTTTCCCGCGTAAATATTCCGGATTTTGTATCACTCAATATAGTCATTAAAATGTTTTATGGGATTAGTATTCAATCATCAAACAGTCACGCATTCTAGATTTATATTTGAGAGAACTCATGAAAGCCATATCAGAAAGACTACTAGTTTGCGGCAGAATTTCCGAATTTCTGTCTCAGCTTCTTTTCTTACTTGACAGTGAAATTAAATCTTTTGAAGAATTTTAAATGGGTCATTTTTTGAAAATACTGAAGAATGAAAACATAGGCGGGGAGAGCTTGGCCTCCGAATGAAAATACTTTTATGAAGGGTATTTTCCGAAATGCTATGAAGGGTTATGTGTATAAATTTCAGTAAGTTTCGATGCGTGAACCGTTGGTTGCTCGACAGACGTGAAGACGATATTCAGTTTCAGCCCATACCTTATATTGGTAATTTTTCGCTGTCAACAATGTTCTTGGTGTTTGCTTAGAAGAAAAAAATATCCAGACTTCGGCGTTGTGAAGGCCACGGGATTGGACCAGTGCGTCCAATCCGTGAATTGGGGAGTTCATGGATTGGAGGGAGGGAACAGAAGTAAATTTTACATCATTTAAATCTTTCAACAAGAATTATTTCCATAAGCTTAAGTTTTCATTATATAATAAAGTTGCAAAATCTCGGCATTCTTTTTAATGGCTCTGTATTTAAAGTGATTTCTTTTAATTTACCACTGAAATCAAATGAAAGTTAAACCCCATTAGGGAAAAAAATACTTTATTTTTCGAGTTTCATCCCATATTCTTGCCATCATTATAGAATGAACGTTTCTACAGTAAATTATGCATTACATCGTTCAAATATTTTATGGAAATAAGTTAACCAATCGACGTCAAAAGAGCCAATCTGAGGAGTTATGTTGCGGCTAAATATCTATGAATGTGTCTTTCATTTGATTACCATCATCTACTAAAATTAAAAAGCAAACTAGTCAGTAAGTTGTACCCCAGGGCAATCGCTTCCATTTCAGCCAGTCTTAAATATGGCGTTATATATTAAAGATTCGAATTTAAACATAAGATTATTTTTCATTTCAGGCAGCTATGACTGTGGGGAAGCTGAACGCCCGACGCATGCATATTCAGTAAGAACAGAGACAGGAGCTATCAACTATCGCTGCGTCTACGGATATCGACTGGAAGGACCACCAATAAGACACTGTCTACAAAATGGCCAGTGGTCATTGTATCAACCTATATGCCGCGGTTAGTGCTACCAATTTTTATCATTCGCCTTTTATCGTTTGCAATTATGAAAAAAACGGCAGCGAACAGGGCCAAGCAGTAGGTTTTTCTCTGTCCGGAGCATCTTTGCCTCTTCTAAATTCTGCCGGCTAGGTCTAGTTGCAGTAACTTTGGTGTTGGCTCTGGCAGTAGATTTCATTTTGAATGTAGAAAGTCAAAAATATAAGAATTTTGAATGTAGAATATAAACTCTATAGTGCAGCTGAATTCCTGGTGATATTCGAGTCTTGGACACTGAAAAGTTGTATAAATTTAAAAGATTTAATTATTTGCTTAAAGCTATTGGCATCTTTTTGCAAGTCGGCCTTTTTCAAAAAGACCACTTTTATGAAGCTAAGTTTGTGACATGTTTAAAAAAAAAAAAAAAAAAAAAAAAAAAAAAAACCCTTCATTAATGAAAGTGCTTCTTTATAGCAAGCATCGCTATACTAGTAGTATTTTAGGTCGTTAAAAATTCTTATTAGTAAAGCAAACGAAAATGCTGCTTGCATAACAGTGGCACGGCATAAATATACCTTCCACTTTTAACCAATGAAAGATGCTTTTTATATGTTAGAATTTGATATGTGTAAAGGACCTCTGCTTAAAATGTTGTAACATGATAATTTATATTGTTAGCATGTTGTTTTTTAAAAATTTTGGAAATTTATTATTTTTACGGACCTGCCTTGATGAAAAGGTGTAAGTTACTGAATACTAATTTCCAATTTCATTCTTACAGAAATCATCTGCCCCTACCTGAACGAGATCGAGCACGGCCGAATATTTTACTCAGGGAGAAAGAGGGACCAGTTGACTTTGGGCACAATTGCTAATGTGAGCTGTGACTACGGGTATCGAATTACTGGGAATCCCCTTCAGTGCGAAGAGGATGGCAGCTGGAGCAAGGGCAACCTCACTTGTCAGCGTAAGCTGTCTTATATTCCTTCAGGCCTCTTTTGATGCTGTGTTGTCAAATGAATCAAAAAAGCAAATTGAGTTACTTGTATTACGAAAGCTTAATGTTTGTGCCATGTCTTACATAAATTCATAAAGTCGTCATTTCTTGCCACACTGAAATCATTACTTAGTGATCATTGTTTCTATATTATTGACATTGTGATCGATCTAATCTATAATTTGTAGCAAATACCACTACATGCATATATTAATCCCTATATTATCTTAACACACTCCCACAAAAGAAATGAAATTAGGAAAATATCGAATCTGATATCTGAATGTATCAGGCTATAAGGTGTATTCAGCCTGCATTCTGCTCATGTCATGTCAAATCGCCATGTAAACTTTACATAACCCTTCAGGAAATATTATACATTTAAGTAAATAAACGCATAAGGATTGATGACTATCTATGCCAGGTTGTAGAACGCATTAGCCTATCTATTTGTGCGGAAAATGGATGTTTATTAGGCACATAACAACATGACAGATTGCAATCTTTTGTATAGCTGAAAGCTAGTATTGTGTTTTCTGTACTGTTCTTTATGTTAACTATACTTCCAAAGTGACAACAGACAATTCTAGTTTCTCTTTTTGAGCCAATATAAAAGGTCAATAAAATCATACAGATATCGATAAATTCCAAATATGCGATCCTTTCGGAGATTTTAGTTCGTTAACGATCATTAGATTCGTAACCAGTCGTTATTTTTAATTTGAAGTCCTTCGAATAATGCATACCTGAGTTTTCTAATGATACAAAATCTGAACCTGTCATACAGTGGCGTAGCGAGGGAGGGGCAAGGGGGTGCATGATGCCCCGGGCGCCGCTCGTAGAGAGGTGCCAAATGGTCTCCAAACAAGATTTTCCGGAAAATTTTTAGTTTTTATTTTGGTTGGTTTCTGGAAAATATATTTAAAATTAATAACTATTGTAATATAATTAATTATTTATTTTCTTGATTTGCCTGATAAAATGTGTAATAAAATGTTTGCAGTACATCAACCAAAACGTTCTTTCTGACCACTTTTATTTCTCCAAAGTAGAGATATTTGTATTTTTTTAAACGAAATGCACGTATAACTTCCGCTTTTTATTTTAAAACGATAACACGGCCTTGTCCCGAATTTCTCAAACATATTCAGTTTCCAAAATCCGATTCAATAATCTGGAAATGACATTTTGAGAAAATCCTAACGCTTCCGCTGCAATGGATTGCGTTCGACTCTCCATTAACCGACTGATTGCCTTCCTGGCTACCGATTCAACTAAGCAATCTTGCTGAGACATCGTATATTCACTGCTACGAAGCATTCAACGCATGTCAATTGTTTTTAATCTCCTATTACAAAAGGAATACTGCAGGTCGCTCCTTACTCCTTATCTAAAACGCATAGTTTTTGATGTCACAGACTAAATTTGCATATTCCCAACTTTGTAAACTTTATAATTTTCCTTTATAATCTCTTCTATTTCCTTTTCGTTCAAAAAGGTTGTCGATTATATGGTTATTTTCATACCGAACCCACAATATCCCCTAATTGTTTTGAGCAGTGAATGTGACTTCATTAGATGTTACTCCGTAGTAGAAAAGAAACGAAGCCTAAAACTGTATTACAAGAGCTATAGAGAAAATGCTTTTTTCCAAACCTAAGAGTCGCACTTCAAATACTCCTTACTATTTTCATTATCAAATGCTAGCTATGAACTTTCGTTCAGCAAAGTTAAAATAAATTTTCACATATTTACAATCAACGATGGGAAAGATTCCCCTAGTCAATCAAAGCATTTTATGTGTGGACCGAGAAAAATCCCCTGAAAGTCATCTAGCATTTTTAAATGTGGTAAAGAGAAGAATTTGAAAGGATCGACTTTAATGAAGCAAATTACATAGTAATGTATACATAGTAATCAATTGTGTTTTTTTCATGTATTATATATTTTATTAATAAATATAAGTGCCCGACAAGTCCAGGTGCACGTGATTGAAGCGAGACGAGGGAAAATTAAAATTTTTTAAGTCGGCTGGTGGTGTGTCTGACAATTTTAGATCTTTGGCACTCCAAGAACGAACGTGTCCAGTTGGCTATGTTCTTTTGCATACTAGGCCATACGAAAACGTTGCTGTATCAGTTTCCTCGAAGCCTTGATGCTAAAGGATGTGACAGACGATGTAACTGACTAAAAATGGCATGGCGAAACCCGGAGGGAACATAAAGCCGAAATCTTGAATCCTGAACATCACAATAAAGTGATTTTCCAGGATGACAGCTGCATAGGCTGCAAGTTCAGATTGGCTGGAAGATTTGCTTTTCAAAAGGGTTTGTAGTTCTGAATCCCGGATGTTGTTCATCCGCAAGAGCAGCAAAGTTTATTGGACGAAGGAACGCTAGCTTCAATACGAGACGGCTTAGTTCTTCAATACGAAACAAGGTGTCTGCTGCAATATTCTGCGAACCCTCGATATAACGGATATCTGCTGAAAATTGCCGCTATGAAGTCTAGGTGTCTCATTTGACGAGGAGGAAGCTTATCCGAACGCTGTTGAAAAAGCGTAGATTAAGGGTTTGAGGTCTGTGAATATCATGAAAACGCGTCCCTATAGCATATGTCGAAAATATTTAACAGCTTCATAAATTCCTAATAATTTGCGATCGTAAGTGCTGTATCTGGTTTGCGCTGGTGAGAGTTTTGATGCGTCAACGTGTAGAAACATTAGATTATTTTTTTTTTTTTGGAAGCAGAAGAGATGAAAAATATGCAACGCCTTCGCCGGGAATCGAACAGCGGACGTCTGAGTACCGGCCCAGCGTGCAGAACCACTCCACCACGAAGGCACGCTAGGGAGCGGGAGAAATACCTTATATACTCCCCTTTTTAAAGGGCGATTGTGGTTTTTAGGGGACCCAATCGCCAAATCCTGGGTGTGGAGAATCCTCATCCAACACCCCTTTTAGTTCGGGCGCCACTGTAGAGACATTAGGATATTTGGAAGCAAGAGAGAGATTGAAAAATTAGCGACCGTCTTAGCCGGGAATCGAACCGCGGACCTCTGGAGTGCCGGCCCAGCGTGCAGAACCACTACACCACGAAGGCACGCTAGGAAAGCGGGAGAAATACCTTATAAACGTAGAGTGATAATGGTTTCGATGCAGAAGGATACTGCAAATTTGTTGCCGAAATTAAATAATTTTTGCATTTTTGGAACGCTTCGCGAGATTCTGTGGTCCAGGTTATAACACGTTTATCGTTTTTCTTGCTTCCACCAAAAATGAATTTGAGGTGCTTGTTGGTTCCTGCATGAGGTAAGAAACGTCGATAATAAAAAGTTGAGCATAGCAAGAAATCTCCTTAAGTCTTTCACTGTAGATGGTTCGGGCATATCGCGGATACGGGGACTTTTATCTGGAAGGGGTCGAACTCGTCAGTGAAATTTCATGACCAAGAAAGGATACTCTTGGTTGGCCAAAAACGCATCTGGAAGGATTAAGACTGACACCGTACCTTTGAAAACGTTCCAAAAACTGTTCACAAATGTGATAGGTCTTCTTGCTCTGAAGAGGAGTCGATTAAGACGTCATCAAAATAAGGGACCACAAAAGTCGAGGCCGTTTCACACCTGATTCATAAAGCTTTGGAAAGTTTGAGTAGCATTGCATAAGCCGAAAAGTCATGACCGGGAAACTCAAATAGTCCGAAAGGCGTAATAACCACACGCAGTTTTTGGGATATCAAGCTGGGTTAACGGGGAACTTAATGATACGCCGGCTCAAGATCAAGGCTTGTAAAAATACAGAGCTTTTCCCTCTAAAACTTGCATACAGTCTTGAATGTGCGGGACTGGGTAACGATCAGGAATTGTAGCTGCATTTAACCAGCAATAATCGCCACTTACCATTTCGTTTCCGAACTAGATGGAGCGGACTGGCCCATGAACATTTTGAAAGACCGGCAAATTCCCTGTTTCATCATGTATTGAAATTCCTCTTTGGCGGCTTTAAGTTTGTCCAGAGTTAAGCGTCTTGGTTTAGCGGACAATTGGAGGTCAGGTAGTTTCAATATAATGTAGTACATTCGTACTTGGGTTCCGGAAATACCCATAACTGGGTGCGCGTAATTGTAGGGAAGTTCTCTGAGAAGTTGATGCTATAGGGTGTTAACCGAAATCAGTTTAATGCTCAAATCTTGACCTATTGCGAATTACTCCCAGGATAAGTTAAGTTGGTTGTGGTAATCTATCAAACGGTGATTCTTCAACATCGACAAGCAAAGAAAATTTTTGAAAAACGTCAGCGCCAATAATGGGACTTGAAACAGTAGCAATAATGAATGGCCATTGGAAGTTGCGGCGCAATCCTAAATCAAGAGATTTCAGGCGTTCACCAAAAGTTTGAATAGGACTTCCAGTTGCTACATAAAGTTGTAACTTGGTAAGGCGCTTTTGTTCGTGAAAAATGTGGTTGGAACGACAGAAACATCAGCCCCTGGTTGTCTACAAGAAACCTTAAGGCCCGAATTCTTTTCGATGACGCAAAGGCGTGCAAAAAAAATAAAAGGCGTGCAAGGCGTGCAAAATTCCGGCCGCTGTCGTTCACAACTTCGAGCAACGGCCCTTTCTCGTTTCCCTGGTCGTTTTAAACGACACGGTGAGCGCAGCATTTGTTTGCCTTGTTTTCCAAAGTTTGTGGTGGTAAACACAAATACCCGGAGGAGGGCTGGGTCCCCTTTAAGATCATAAGATCACTTTGTGATCAGGTGGGTGGGGAGCACTCCAGCAATTTCAACCCAGAGGAGGGCTTTCATAACATTTCCTCAGTGGGCTACGATGTGTATTTCGTCAACCACGTGATGTGGAGCATTTGCGCTGAAAAGGATTCAGCTTGGATGGTTACTAACTGAGCAACCTCTTTGGACAAATCATTAATTTGACCCTGTAACGCCACAATACCTGGATCAGGAGCCTGCCACTGCGTGTATTTGCGCTGGAATGGCCAGCTCGTGAATTTTATTAGCGATTTCGGGAAGATTTTATGTGGTTTTTACTGGTCGCTAAAACGGTTTGCATGTTAGATGGGAGTCTATTCATCCATAATGTTTTAAGAATATTATCCGTTAGGTTACCGGGGGCTAAGTCTGACATTTTAGACAGCAATTGAGAAGGCCTCATATCACCCAACCGTAAATCGTGCAACAACTGCTTGATTTTAACTGTCTCGGATTCTTCATAAACAGAAATTAATTTTTTTTAAGATTTGTATTTGTCCGTCGCCGGTGGATTCAAAATTATTCCACGAGCTGATTGCAGTACCTCTGATTCTAAGGTCCCAATCATATTATGTTTCGGCTACGCGGGACTTGACGTCGAAAGGAACAATTCTCAAAACCGCACAGGAAACACACGTAGCTAGATTACCATTCTCACTTACTACAAAGACCTTGAACGCCAAACAGTAATCGATTATCGCTCAAATTGGGATCACGTGATCCTTCAGAAGCAGAACTTTCGTCTGATTGGTTGTCTGTACCCGGTACTGAGGTCCAGCCGAGACATGTTCGGTGAGGTTTGAAAAAAATCCTGCGTAGCCGCAACATTTTTCCGTAGCTAGGCGGAACTTCGCTTCCAGCGGGGCTCTTTTTCTAGGAATCCTCCCATTTAAACCAGTGCTACCAGAATCTCGTTTCTTAGAAAAGTCCCGTCTAGCAGGGACTGTAGCCATATGTGATAACCTCTTACGCGGCGATCGCTGTATAAAATTGAGTTTCGTCGGCAGTAATGTGACTCAACGCGCATCCAATTGAATGAACCATAACGATGGGTCTCGGTGACAAAAGGGCAGTGGCTTACTACCACTTCTGTCAATTGTGAAGCAGCATCGTTGTCACCACTTTAGATCAATCAAATATGCACAAAATAATATGTATAGAAAAATAATCAATATGTATATAGTGACAGTTTCTTGGTACTTGAAATCAGAGAAATTGGAGCCTCAAATGCAGCAGACGATACATATATCTCCGCTGAAATTGACAGAAATATGTTGACTCACCGGAATGCGGCACCACGCTTGAAATGTCTCACTTGCATCTCATCACAATGGATAACTTACTGCTACTCAGAATTTGACATATAAACTCATATTCGTGCAACATTGAAGTTTGCTATTCGTAATAAATACGGGTCACCATTATGGAAGTAAAATTTTTTTAGACAGATCGTTAAATAATTATAACAATTGAATAGAATAAATATTATTTTGTTTTTGGTTGCTATAGGTTACCAGACCGGCAGAGTTGAGTTGTAGTAGGCGTTGCCACATATCTATTTATCTATAATGTATATTAAACTTTTAATGTTTTAAAAACTGTACTTTTTAAAAACACATTATAATATGTAAAATAAAATAAAACCTTTTTAACTAATTCTAGATCAATCGTATGTCTGATTTTTCCGCCTGACACAGATGCATATCCGAATCCAAGCCTAGTGTAGTTAGGTAGTGACTATTCTTAATATATTTTTTGAGTATTGTTATGGCAGATTCCAGCATTTTATTATTATTTGCATTATTTTCTTATTATGAACATATACTATATAATATATTATATTACTGAAATTTTTTTTTTTTTTTTTTTTTTTTTTTTTGTGGGAGGGGGGCGCCACAAAGGTATTTTGCCCCGGGTGCCAGTTATGCTTGCTACGCCATTGCTGTCATACGAAAAAATAGCAGCTTTTATTTTTTGAAGGCCCCAGGTTTTATTGAAATCAACTCATAAATATTTAAAAGTTTCCTTATACCATAAAATTAAACTTATCTTATAAAACTCAAGCATTTATTATGAATTTGCTTTATAATATGTGAAATCCTGTATGAAAATTTAAATGTACGATTGCGCCTAAAATCTTTTTCTGATTTTTCAAAATTAGCCATAGAGTGTGGTATGCCTTTCGCCCGTCATGAATCTGAACAATATATTTTGCTAAACGGGACCACAAATTACGAGAGCATCGCTCTTCTGAAGTGCGGAGACCAAGAGGCTATCCTCATCTGCAGAGAAGATGGAACGTGGAGTATACCGGAGCTAGACTGTGCGACACAAAGTAAATACGAAAGCTGTGTTTAAGCTGATTGAACATTTTATCTGCATATGTTCCTTATCTGTCTCCTTTTCTTTGTCATAAATGATATTTTTATTACTAATAAAAAGTATATTTTAGTTCTATTATTTCCATACATGATTATACAGGAAACAGCTTCATAATGGTGCCTGTCATAAATTTGAAAGCACATGTATGAGAATTGGCAAATTCTGGCCTTTATAAGGGTGCCTTGGCATAAAGGTGCCCGTTCTTTATAGAGATCAGTTTTTAACTCGAAGAAAGCAATATTCAAAAGGGTGCGGGCACTTTTACACCGGGCACTTTTTTACCGTTGTACAAGTAAGGTTTTAGTTAGCCTATCTGATTTATAAAGCGCTTGAAAATTCTAACTGGATAGTGGTGATCCAGAATATAGATGTCCGAACCCTCATGAAGGTTTCTCTCTCCAAGCTCTAAAGTAACATTGTTCAGAATAAAGTTCTAAATTAATCTTGTTGCGCGCTTGGAAAAGTTTCTATCTTGGAGACGTGGACTACTACTACTATAAAGGTAAAGCACGTTCATGACTTCCTATTTATCTATCTGATAAAACAGAGAGCTTCTGAACTATATCGACTTGAAAATTAATTATTACTAAGATGCGATGTAATGTAAAATGTTTATGATATAGAATACCTGAATTACGTTATGTCCTGAAAACATGTGACCAGGCATTTGAGGGTGCACGGGATATCATATATATTTATACTTAATGGATCCGATTTGCTTCGACAGAAGTGTACTTATTTATTTATGTAAAAATGCCTTTGTTTTGAATAATCGTGATAAATCAGCTAAACGTAGTTCGAAATTCTTGAAATATGGTTTTTGTTACAAATAGAAGCAAGCCGTATCCAGTAGCATTATGGAAAAGAGCCGCACTGCCAAAGCTTTACGTAAACAAGATACAGCTTAAAAGCAGCTGTTTAGGAGGGATTCATTACTCAATGAATGATGGTATATTAAACATTTTCAAGGTAGCCAAAGTGTAAAAATGAGTTCAAGGCGACATTTGCCATCAAAATTAAAAAACAAGTATTATAAGCAGATTAGAAGCAGCCCAACCACAGTCTGATGTTGTAAGGTGGTTAAACGTCGCCCGTTTCATGGTAAGCCAGTTTCAGAACCAATTTCTAACTAATAATTCTAACTACTAATTCAGTTCAATAGCAATGTCGCAAAATAATTTTAAAATGAGCATATCTTTAGAATTTCCGATAAAACAGTTCCGCGTGCTGGAGATAAAAAGGTCTTTTTTTCTCCGTAGAGCGTTGCCTTTGCTCGCTTTGAAATCGTTGAGTTTCTTAATCAAAATCTCATAAATGCTTTACAACATATGAAATAGGTAATAAACCAATTTCCAAATTTGGGCTTCCAGATGCCGATATTCGGGTGGAGATGTACGTTATTCAAAATTTGATGGCTCTAGGTACAGTTGTTTTATCACAATGGGAGAAACATACATACATTTATGCAGACTCTTCATTATTTAATTTCTTCAAATACAATGCAGGACTCTAACATTTGGTGGCAACAGTTTGAAAAGTGAAACGGATATTTATAGTGATTCAACGCAAAATCGCAAAACGAAAACAATAGTCCTTCAGGGACAAAGCCCCTTTGGACTAAAAATATTGACAAATTTACTTTTACCTAAGAGATATGTATGGTTAGGAAAGATTCAATAAATTTGGAAAAGAATATTCTTTGTCTTTCAAAGGATCTAAAGAATGCAAATTCCTCATTCGGAAAAGAAACTTAAGTAGCACTTACACCCCCCCCCAAAAAAAAACTCGATAAGAATAAAACATTTTTATTCCCTGAAAGCTCTAGGGTTCTGCTACGTCTAGAGGCTTGTGTCACTACCCTGCAGACACTAGACTGGAAGCGAGTTATCACTTTCCTCTGAAAAAAATTATAAGATATTACTCCCACCTTCTTAGCATGCTTTCTTGATGTAGTGGTCAGCACGCTCGACGCGAATTCGAGACGTCCGTGGTTCGAGTCCTGGCGAGGGTATTGCTCACTTTTCATCTATCCTGCTTCGAAATAACCTAATGTCTCTACAAAATGACCAAGTTTCAAAAAGGTTAAAATAACCTTTTTATTTAGCTTCTTAAATGAAGCAAAAGGCACAGCTTGTACCACACACGAACCTCCGCTACTGGCGGGAATTTAAAGTAACGTAAGATAAATTTTCATTCAAACGTAGATAACGTAGTCTGAGACTACACACTCAGTAGACTACTTAAGCTGGCTCAAGATAATTAATGGACGTCAGCTAGCAAGATGCTAAAAGCCAGAGTAAAACTTTGGCAGAACTGGCCATAGTACATAACTGTAAGGCCAGGCTTACAGAAACCCTAAAACATTCAAACCCTCGGCTTAAGTACATAACAACTATTTGCATTCTGGTGAGGTCTGTGGAAAAAATTAAAGGTTCAGCTCATAATAACTCTTTAATTAATATAAAATTCTAAGTTGAATCAACTGTATAACCCAAATTCCTAAGATTCACTACTTTTCTCTTTCCATGAAAATTTCAAACTTTACATTATAGTATCAGCCTTGAATAGACAATTGTCTGACAACTCTGTTAAAGAATGCAAAAACCCATTTATATTATTTGGTTTAATAACCTCACATAACCATATACAAAGAAGAACGCCATGTGGTGTCCTAAGCTTTGCTTATTGTGTCCTCGATCTCCTAAATTGGGTGTCACACCTGTTTCGCATAGTCTTTGTTTAGAACACTGAGAAAAGTAGTGTTGAAAATAAAAGGAAAGCAATGTAAAGGTTTTTTACGGATGCAATACAGAATGTAGATCGTAAATATCCTAAACTTGGATGACTTTAGTGGTCAGTAATGTTTTGGTTAAAACTTGCAAAAATTCTGGAAAATACAAAAAGGTTTCAGTCAAAGATATCTATCTATATAGCTTGCTATATCCGATTTTTATACCTTTGGAGGTT